CAGCCGGGGCAGCGCTGGGGGCTCCGGTTCCGCACAGACCGCCCCTCCCTGCGGCCGCTGGTGCCCGGGCCCCCCCTCCCGAGGCTCCGTGTGAGCAGGGCGGCTGCGGCCCGAAAGGGCCACCTGTGCGTTAGCAGGTTTTTGGGTGGGCTCTTTTTTGTGTTATTCTCCGTGGAGTGTGTGGAATTGGTTTTGAAACATCACACCGTAACCGTTAATGCCTTTACTTTAGTCGTTAAAGACGTCTAACAGGACAACGAGCCTGTTTAAATGCTCTATTATTTATCGGCTGTTCTGGATGCCACCAGGATAGTTAAATGAAGCAAAAAAGAGAGTAAGCAAGGTGGTTGCTGAGTGCTTTCCAGTGCTAAGGATGTGTTGTGTTCTTCCATCAGATGCCTTCTTAGCCAAAGGCTCCGCTGCTCTGGGCAAGCTGAAGGAGCTCTGTAACGAAGGGAAAGGACATCCTTCCACACTTCTGCAACTCTATACACAGGTAGTGCATGTAAAAGCATTAAGAACCCTCAATAAATATGCTGCGTAGGGCCTGGGAGAGGGTTGGGCGTAGGAAAGGGTGTAGCAGAAAGAGTTGTTGGTGTGTGCAGTGAATATCCTTGAAGTTCAGGGCAGCTTTTGTCTGGATTGGAGGATTGCCTAGAGTTGGCATTAATGTGCTGGTGCTGTGAACAGAAAGGCTTTGGGAACTTATATTCGCTGTCAACAATCGTACAATACCTCTAACTTTTGCAGCTTTTATAAACTAAATTTTTCTTTAAAATACCTTAACATTGTTAGGCTTTATAAACTTAACAAGCTTGTACTTTACTGCATGCCACCATCTGATCATTTTGGGCATAGCATTTTGACGTTGTGCATCTTGTTTTCATAGGCTGTCTTAGACATTACATATTTTGAGGAAAACCAGCTTGTGGATGAAGATTTTCCAGAAGAATCTTCCTTGCAAAAAGTTACAGAACTTATTTGTGTTCTTTCAGAACCAGAAGACCTAGTGAGGGAATGCAACATAAATGAAGAAGTGAGTACTAACATTATTCAGCCAGATAAACAATTATTTCATTATTTAAAAAGAAAAAATAATCTGAAAGAGGATATTTGGTAATTTGTGGTTTTGGTGGGCAAAATTTAAAGTATTTTTTTAAATTTTCAAGTCATATTGTATTTAAATAGCGATTCCTGAAACTATATTTTGAAATAACTTGTTATGCACTCAGAACTTTTCTTGCTGACATTTCATGATGCCACGTGCTTTTTTGGCAGTTTAAATCCAAAGTATTAGGCCTGTGTCTGTGACCAGTGCTGTTAAATACAGCATCGAAAGCAAGAGACTTCATGTAATACTTTTTGCATGTGTGTGCATGAGTAGTTCAGATGGTTTACTTCTGGGTAAGCCCAGTTTGTTGGATTTTATTTCAGCTCATCAACATCCTTGGTGTAGAGTTGTTAGAATGTCTTTACTGGAGAAAAGGAGCCCTGCTTTACATGTATTGTCATACAGCAAAAGAAAGGAGTGAATGGCTTCAAGAGAACATTGCCATATTTAAAAAGGTGAAGAATATTTTTTAAAAGTTCTGTGAGCATGTGAATACATCTTCTTTCTCAAAGTATGACTCTTAAGATACAGCACTTTTTCACCCTCTTTTTTTCTTTCAATTAGGGTTTTGGGAAATTCATAGCTAGAAGTGTTTCTGGCTATCATTAAATTAGTCAGAACTTATCTAACAGGTTTTTTTCCCTTGTTTTTTTTTAACTGTACTCAGTGTCTTAATGATGGAGTTCATTACTTGATGAAGATGCTTAACTTTAGATGCCCTCTTGAGTTAAATGAAGATGTCTCCTTTCAAGATAAAGACACAGCCAGGTTGCTCAGTGAAGGTAAAAACATCCCAAACCCAAACCTACTCAAAAAACCCCACAATCCCCTCCCCTAATAAGTGCTCCATTATACAAAATGTTTTACTGTGTATTTTTGTTGCTTGACTTAATTTGTATTTTAAAACTGACACTTTTTAGAACAAATAAAGGTAACAGATGAGACAGGGGCAGGTAAGCAGGCAGCAATGCTTCTTCCCTTCCCCTTCTGGCCCCTCCCATGCTTTCCTGGATTTTGGGAGCTTGTGATGTTCATTTTCTCTGTTTTTGAGAGGAGGAAAGCAAACAGACAGTGGGTGTTTTATGCTCAGCCTCTGTTTTACAGCCATCCAGTTTACAGCTGATAAACGTTGAAAGCACAAGTACGACAGCAGCGGGTGCTAGGTGTTCCCCTGTTGGTCTTACTATTCAGGTCTAGAACACGGAAGCCAACACAGAATTACTGGCTGCACACGGGTAGAAAATGGAGGCAGAGTGGGTTAGATGTGGCAACCTTTCTCTGTCTCCACTTCATGTAGCTTTGTGTAAGCTGCATTACTGTAGCTTAGTTACATGAGGATCTGAGGCTGCATCCACTGAATGCAGCAAGAAGGAATTTGTGAGGTAAAACAGGTGGTGCTGAGGGCATGATGTCCACATTGTACGCACTGAGAACTAGATCTATTCTGGCAATGCTCAATTTCGTGTTAGTTTCTTGTTTAGTTTCATCTGTAAATGAGATTTATCCATTGATCCAGTTCAGCTCCACAGTGCAGAGCCAAGTGCAGTAGCTGATTCGTAGATTTATTTATTCCAGTCTCTGTGGGCAAGTATGTGGCTATTTAAATACTAAAGCTGCTGCTGCTTCACTTAAGATGATGCTCAAAGAGCATCTTCTTTTCAGCTTAAATTGTGGGAGGCACAAAAGTATTCTAAAATAAGTATGTGTAATCATGCTTGCACTCAATGGATTCTAATGAAGCCCTGAAATTCTCTAAGATAAACAGGCAAACATGGTAATCATCTTAAAGGTTTTAGCATGATGTAGGGGCAAAATGGATAATGAGAAAGGTTTTAGATCCAGGTTCTCTTCTTGTTGGGATCAGTCATCTTGTAGTTAAAATTTGGTTGACTGCCTTTTTGGATTTTTTTCCCATTGTTACTGATGGAAAAAAAAATACTGAAGTTAGCAAGCAGTGTACTTGCTTAGAAAATAAAGTACTTAATGCAAATTATTTTTACAGGTGTATTTAGTGACACTCACTTGCTGGCGATGATGTACAGTGGAGAAATGTGCTACTGGGGACTGCAACACTGTGGAGAAGGGGAGGAGGAAAGCCTAGAGACGATAGATCCCACCTCTAACAGTGGCCTGGGCTGCAGATCACAGAGCACGTCTCTGGACTTCCGAGAAACGGGCAGAAACATGTTATCGAAGTACGTGGCCGTGTGCCAGGGACCTTTGAGAGACCAGGGCTGGAACACAGGAGCTGCAAAACAGATGTTGTGTTGCTTCGTGAAATCTCACAGCTAAAACACTCTTGATTTGGCTGCGCTGGAGGAAGCCTGGTGCCCCCCGAGCACGCTCTGGGGGGGTGTTCTCTGCTTCAGTGTCTGGCCGTTCTCCTTGTCAAAACGTGTGCTTTCGCTGTATTAAAAACATGGATTCCACGAACTCCCGGAATACAGGTCCAAAGTCTAACGCAGTATTTATATGAAGAAACATTAATAAATGAGGGTGTGATGAACGAATGACCGCAT